TGATGGGATTTAAGTTGAAATTAAATGAGAATAGTGCATGTGGTGGGAGCATTTTGTAACCAGGAAAACATCCTAGAGGAGTGAGATTCTCTTGCTCATGTTGCAAGGTTGGGTGCTCTTTTTAGGAGGGCCCTTGCCTTGGGGTGGTTGGGATACGATGAGCGACTCAGAAACCCTCTTCTGCAGATGTGGGCTGGTCTGTCAGGCAGTTTTCCCCGGTCCAGAGCAAAATGAAAAAAAGCAAAATGGCAGGAGGAGGAAGAGTCAGGAGAGAAGGGCGGCCACAGCAACGTAGTAAACTTTTCATTAATTTTAAGATTGTCTGGGGCGTCTGGGTGGCTCAGTCGTTAAGTGTCTGCCTTTGGCTCAGGTCATGATCTCAGGGTCCTGGAATCGAGCCCCACGTCGGGCTCCCTGCTCAGTGGGGAGTCTGCTTCTCCCTCTGCTCCTTCCCCTCCCCCTGCTCATGCTTGTGTGCTCTCTCCTCTCTCTCTCAAATAAATAAATAAAATCTTTTAAAAAAATGTTTTGAGATTGTCTTTGATGTAGTTTTCATGGTTCTTTGCTATGAGAATGTTTTTTTATTCTATGATAGGACGATGTTAATAGATTGTACTGTATTTTTAAAACATTGTTACTTAGTAAATTAAGTTGGTACTTTTTATGAGAAGGTTTTATGGGTCTGAAATCTTTTAAAAACTGGGAAACGCTGTCCCATTCTCTTTCTGACTCAAAGGCTGTCACTGATGTCCCAAATTGTAAATAGTAAGTGCAAACTGGTGGTAGGCACAGCACGTGCTATGGGAAATCAGAGAAGGGAGAGCCGGCGCCCCTCATCCCAGGCAGCAGGGGATGTTGTCTTGAAAAGGCAATCCCCGACTTAGGAGCTGGATGCAGAGAGGCCCGTGGCCTGGCTGCAGAGGAGCATGGAGTGTTGTCCCACGCGTCTCGTGAATCCTGAGTCCCACTGCAGGGGCCCCATCAGACAGCCCCTGCGGATCCTGGCCGTTGAAACCCTCAGACTGACTCCATTTAAACTTGAACAACCTGTGACATACAGGGTCTCTGGTTGTCCAAAAGAGCCACAGAAACCCACTTTAGGACAGCTTAGTCGTGAGTCCTGTTGCCCATGGCATGGGGGGACAGGGGTGGGACAGCGGGGACCTTGCCCACACATCTTCTGGGCTTGTCTGCTTGGAGGGACTTCCGGGTGGCCTGGTCTGGGGCAGATGCCCATTTTTCCACCTGGGACTCTGACTGTAATTCTGATGGAAGAGGTGATGTCAGCTGTCCTTTGGGATTTGTGCTGTCCATTTGGGTGGGAGATGAGAAGAAAGGACTCCCCTACATGGGAGGGGCAGTGTTATTTCCCAGACAGGGGAAGGGGGCTGGGCTGATCAAACATGGAACGTGCTGGGGGAAGTTCCCCGGATGGGAGGTGTGAATATGGTGGACTCCCTGCTGGCTTGGGCCAGTAATTAAATCATGATTTTTTTTTTTTTCCATTAATGAGTTGAGAGAAACAACTCTGGCTTTTGCTGACAAGCAGGTCAGAGTCAGGGCTGTGTCTCTGGGCACCTCTCACAAAACTCCATTTCCTGGGGCAGCTTTCCTTAGCATGGAGCTGCTTTGCAGAAAACACGCATTTAAATGACACTGTTGTTTTCCTAGCGGCCATTCTGATCCCACATTCTGGGATGGGGCCCGGAATTAGCATTTGTGCTCAGAACCCAGGGTCTCAGGTGGCCGGTGCCAGATGGTCTGCTTGCCCACACTTGGAGGAAGCTTTTCTCGGTTTTTTTCTGGTTCCCGGCCTCGCAGTTTGGTCTTCCCTTCAGACTGTTAACATTTTGAAAACCGGTGGTTAAATGTACAAAGTGAACTATTTCAGGGAATCTAGGAATAAATGCTTTTGCACAGTGAAGCACAATCCTTTGATGATGGAGCCCTGTTCTGCTCCTTCTCCACCCTCTCCCGGGGAAGGGATATTGTGGTTTGTCAAGACTGGTGAAGGGTTTTTTTTTTTTTGATTCAAGGCGACGGTTACTGCAGGAGCCTGTGATAACTCCAGCTATTAGTATTACTTTATTTTAACTCTCAGTTTTAAAATAGCTGCAGGGCTGCACCTGGAATAAAAATGAATTAAAGAGAAAGCCACTGCGGGGGAATTTAAATAGCGCCTCAGGGATAGGCTTGTTCTTCTGGTGCCATCACTTGGACCCACAAGGGTTTCTTTTTTTTTCCCCTCACCCTTCCTCAAAGCTTCCCAGAACGCCACTCACGTGAGCAGACACAGGGATTTTTGTCATCTTTTCTTCTTTGGGGTTTAAAAATATCATTTTGAAGGAATGCTTAGCTACCAGACCAAGCCCCCAGGGGCTCACATGCCCTGGCAGCCTGTGAGGGACCAGGGTCCCAAATCCAGGAAGGTGTGACTGCTGCCCTCAGGGAGCTTTCTGTCGAATATGAAGTGCCAGGGAACTCTGGGGTGTGAGGCCTCCCGTGGGTTGTTAGCCTGGGATGGGGGAGGAGCACAGACCCTCTGCCTGGGGAGCTGAAACCCTGGAGGTGGGGTTTGCTGGGCCTGGGTGGGTGGTGGGGGAGGACGTTTCTGGCCAAGGGAGGGGCATGGCATTGTGGAGAGCCAAGGGGAGTGCACTGAGATCCGTAGGAGATGGGGCAAGGGAGGCGGGCAGGGCCAGCGGGGTTGGGGGGGCTCGGGCGCTGTATGGAGTTGCCTGGGTATGATTCTGCAGGTTGGCAGAACACAAAACCAAACCAGCGTCCGTTAAGTAGGCGAGGCACGTGCCAGCGTACGACTCTTCGAATCGCCATTGTGCCAGTGGAGTAGAGGTTGTGCTGGCGGGTGTGTGGGGTTGACCTGGGAGACAAGGGAACCTTTGGGGAGCTATGGCAGCAGTCAGGTGAGCCGTGACAAAGGTTTGAACTAGGCAAGGCACTGGGGACGAAGGACTGACAGGAATAAGAGATGTTGAGGAGGTACAATAAACAAGGGGGTGCAGTGGCCAGCGAAGTAGGAGGAGACCAGGGGCTGAGGGAGGAGGGAGTCTGAAGATGGAAGAGGTGGCTGCACTTGGGGTGAACAGAGCCTGACGGACAGACTTGGCGAATCTCTGCACTGCACACCAGAGACGAATGTACCATTGTGTGTCAATGCGGCTCACACACCAAACAAGGTGGAAAAGGTTGTAAGGTCAGGTGCCCTTGGGCTTGGCAACTGTGAGGCCTCTGCAGCCCTGGGAGAGGGGAGGGATGGAGGGAGAGAAGGAGATTGCAGGGGGTTCAAGAGAGGATGGGAGAGAAGAAGCAGGGATAGGATTCAGCTGTGAAGGATACATCCTAGATTAAGCCACCTGCTTGTAATCAGTGGTGCTTTCCTTTTTTATCCCCTTTGCTCATTTTCTTTCCATATTCCTGAGGGTGAAAGACAACTCGGAAGATGCAATGCACAATAGATCTGGAATAGAGGAGAATAATTGGGAAATTCGTTAATTGCGGCTCTCTTTACAGTTCTGTTACAGAGTCCAAATGGTAGTTTACGACACCAGTTGAAGCCTTATCGGGTAAGAGGTATTGACATAGCATGACTCCCTGGAGAGGAATGCTAGTGGAATTCAAACATACTTGGGAATGTAAATTCAAACCCATATAGGACTGTAATCAAGGCACACAGCCTATTAAATAAATGAACACTTGAAAATGCAGGAATGGCAGGCAGGAGATAATCTAAAAATGTTCTCATTGTTTGCTCTTTTCCCCGACCCTATGGGGATGAGAAAGAAGGGGTAACGATGAAGAACTCCAATAATAGGTATAATTTATTGAATGCTTAGATGTGCCAGACGCTGTGCCGAGTATAGTTCACAATCTGTCTCATTGAAACCATCTCACTTAATGCTTCCTACAATTGGGGAAGGGAAGGACTCTTCCTACCCCCGTTTTGGTATTGAGCGATTTGGAGGCCAAGTGGTCACATAGCCGGCTGAGCGGATGTCATGATCCCTGGGTATAGGCAGACCCAACCATGTGAGAAGAGCCAGGCTTAGATTCAGCTCTTTCCCTAATGCACGGGGCCTTGGCTCCTTTATCAGCAAAAAAAGGGAGGCTGGTGCAAAATACCTCTAAAATGCTCTTTGGCTATAGAATCCAACCAACTAATTCCACCTGTCATTGCTTTTGCTCCTGGCCCCAGGAATCCAGCAAATGTTCTGTAGCCCAAGGTAAGCGTGACCCAACAGGAATGGAGATCATCCCACCAGCTTTACAAATCGGGGAAGCAGAGGGTGAATTCCAGAGCAGAAATGTCTGCTTCTAGGGAGCTGCAAGCCTGGCCTTATAGGATGTACCAGAAAGACGGGGATCCCAGCCGTGGTCTTTCTCTTGAAGATTTCCCACCGTCTCTTGCCAGGGGTACTGTTTCCCCTGGATGGACTCTGAGCTGCTCTTAATTGTGCATCTGGCTAGAAAGCTTTTTCTTGCCACTCACCTTTCAATTTTCCATCTTGCGCTTTTGGCGTGTCTTACTGCAGGGACAAGTGGCTGAAATCTCCCATGTTGTTCCTCAGATAGCCACATCACATGTTCTCAGACATTCTACTTCTTAGCACACAAGGTTTTTTTGTTTTTTTTTTGTTTTGTTTTTAACCAAATGTCATTGGGGGAAGGTCTACATTGGCAGTCTTTAATGTCTATTTTTTACCAAAAGATTTTTTTCTGAGACCAGAATGATCTCGGCATTGGAGAATTTCTAGTGCCACATCTTTCTAACTGTGGAAGAGCTTATCTGGAATGCCCCAGAAGGATCCCGAGTGTTGAGCTAGGGGAGACCTGATAGCAGGGTATGATTATGGACAGATGGTGGTTGTTGATCTGTTGAAGACAGAATAGTGACTCAGCAGGAGAACTGTGATTTGGGGCTGGATCCGACTCCATTCAGCCGAGTTATATAAGAACGTTACAACAGCCGTGGCTGCCCTTTATTGAGGCTCTGCGTGCCAGGCTCTGTGCGAAGTACTTTGACATGGCTGGTCTCGTTCAGTCCTCACTGCAGGTGGCCACACACGGACGTAAGGTCCTACAGCTGGTAAAGCTCAGCTATTGGTAGTCACCTTGACGTGTGCTTTGGGAGTTGAGCTTGTCTTCAGAGGTTAGAGATGTTCAGTTTCCTCATCATGCTCTTGTGTCGATTTTCACATGGCTTTATCTGAACCCTCCTTCATTTTACATTTTTAGTCCTACTGCCTCTCCATGTCACCCGTTTCTCTATTGTTATTAGTAATTTCTTTCACACTGCTCCAGATTTCAAACTGCTTTATGAATCAAGGGATGGTGCCTCAGTCTGGCATTATGGAATTTGGTTTAAGAGTGAGTGCTCTGTTACCCTCTCCAAGACTTTTTGAAAATTTGGACATTGTTTCCTACTAACATTTTTATTTGTCTTGCAGACTCCTAATTTCCTTAATTCATCCTTATGAAGGAGACTTTTCTGTTTCTGGAGGACTTCAGCTGCCCTTCTCTGGACCTTTTCTGATTCTATTATATCTCTACCAAAAATCAGAAGTGAAAGTGGTAATAATCAAAGAGTGCCATGGTCTTATTCAGTTGTACTTTAGGATGGAATAACATGAGGCATGATGTGGGGTCAGTGAGGGTTGTTAGACAAGAGAATGACTATCAAATATCACTCTGTTCAAATCCAGTAAGAAGGATGAATCAGATGGAACATCGGCCACGAGGGCCTGCACTGGTTAGTATTACCTCAAGGATGTGTCAAGGGTGATTCGACACCATGTAATTAAAGGGGCTGCATGAGTACATGTGGGGATTCAGTTGGGGGCCAGCCAGGTTAGGAACAGTTCAGAGAGTAGGGTCTAAGATCAATCAAGAGAATGGATCACAACAGATATAAGGATAATGGGCCTCATCGTTTTGGGGGATTGGCTGTGAGAGAAAAGGTCAAGCTGCAAGACCAGCCACGTATGGCATGATAACTTAGAAGAGCCATCTGAAGATAGTCATGGATGTGGTCGGCTGGCCTTGATACAATATTGTCTGAAGACAGGGCCACAGGCTTCCCAAGCCCCTTCCCAACTAGGGTCATTGGTTGTCCACATGGGTCTGCCCAACCTCAGGGAGAACCATGCTTGTCACTGGTCCCTGTGAATGAGCAGACTGAGTCTTTTCCATAGCAGAGGCCAGGACAGACCGGCGTAGAGGATGTGTGACCCTGACTTGCCATTCAGGAGGAGAATGGAAAGTTCTCCCGGGTTTATTTTATTCGTATTCAGCTTGTCCTAGAATTAATCTGTCCTGAATGGTGCTTAAAATAATCAGGCCAACATTTAAGGCTGAGAATACCTTTACAGCGTCGGGACTTTTGTTTTAACAAAATTTACTCTAATTTGAATTACAAATAATCATAGAACACAGAGTTAGAGGGATTCTTGGAGGTAATATATTACATTTAACTGCACGAAAGTCCTTGAAGTCTTTGCTTATTTCAGTTACACACTGTCTCCTTTATGAGGACCCTCGGGAGAAGTTACTTCTGGATCTAGGCTTGGGAATAATTGCGGTTCTTTTCCCTTTCTTTCATTTAATTTTCACAATAATTCTTTGAGGTGGGTAGAATGATTCCAGTTTTATAGCAGAACAGACAAAAATTCCAATTGTTGAATAGATTTGGCCAAGCAAACACAGCTGTAAAGAAAAAAGTGGAGTTCAAGCAAAGTCTATCACATTCTGGAATTCTCCTTGGAGTTAAATGTGAAGCTCTTACGTCCTTAATGCAACGGGGTCAGCCCAAGGGGGGCGTGGCTTCTAAACCATTGATCACTTCTCTTAAACTCAGCCTAATTCTCCTGCTCCAAGGTATCAAGGTATTTTTTCTCCCCTGCACAGCCACCTACTGTCTCCCTCTCCTGAGTGCCAATAAATGCTAAAATGTTGTTTATGGTGCATCTTTTCTTTATTGCTTTCCACCTTTCTGGATCTCCTCCCTCCCCACCCATCCCTCCTTTCCCTTCTCTCTTCTTCCTGCTATCTCAATGACTTGACACCGCTTAGGAAATTTCACAATCTATCAGGTCTCTCTTTTGTTGAATTTCACAATCTATCAGGTCTCTTTTTTGTTGTTGCCTGGTAGCACACATACAGCAAACTTAGTGTCTGTCTTGAGCAAGTGAATAGAATATAACAAGTGGGCAGAACTCTAGGCTGCACATTTTAATATTAGTCTTATTTATGGCTCCATTCTTAGGCCTCTCTTACTGGTTTCTCTTGTTTTGTTACATATTTCTAATGTGCGGTGTCTCAGGAGATTTTTGGTGTCCCTTTTATCAACCCTCAGTGCTTTCTGGAATGAGACTGGATGTGAGTAAATAGCAGTCTAGTCACCTCTCTCTCAAAATATGGGGCTGATTTTAACCTAGCCTGATTTATGAACTGCGGTGGCTTTTAGTAATCAACATATTTATTCTCTCCTACATATTCACAGGCTACCAGTGTAATGTTTAATTCCATCTGGGGGTCAGGTGCTTCCTCGTTCCACCGATCTGGACCACATTTGCTTCTCTCCTTAACTGGCATCTCCTTGGAAACTTCCCCCAGACACGGACCCCTGAGCCACACCTTCTCTTCTGGGCCTGAACATTTGAACTCATTTAAGGAAGCCAAATTTTCCCTTCTTATCTTTCCACCCTCTTGCACTTCACTTACTTCTTTATGATGTTGCCATTACCTTCCTCGCTCCCAAGATCCTTTTGCTAAGGGAAGGCAAACAGAACAGGCCTGGTGCCTACTTTTTGCCATCTGTGGGCCATACGTTATCCTCACAAGCTGTGGATTCACCTTGTCCTGGTTGTTTTACCCCCAAATGTAGCTCAAAAGCCCTTTTAAAAATTGTCTGGCACATTTTGAGGCCCAAGCCCTGCTGCGGAGTATGTGCACCCCACGGGCAGGGACCCCCCTCCCCAAAGCCTGTACCTGTCTGTGCTGTGCCTGGGGCCCAAGCAGACAGCTGTCTGGTGCCCGCCTGGCCTTCCTTGGATGCATCCCACTCATTTTCTTCTTCAGGATCCTTCTTGCTTGCTCCGAGGGTTTACCTTATTGGACTTTTTCGCCAGGGAATCCCAACTATTTTTCTCTCCACTCATGTCATCACCTCCTTTCTTCTAGGACCCAGGTGGCTCCCCGGGACAGACCCCTGCTCCATGCTTTATTCCTTGTCTGCTGTGGCTTCGGCTTCACCTACTGGCTCTTTCCCTTCTGCCTGCAAAGATAAGCAGAACTTCCTTGTCTGGGGGGAAAAAAAAAGAAAAAAAGTAAGATTTGAAATGAAAGAAAAGAGAAAAAGATAAGAAGAAAGAAACCCTCTGATTTCCTGCCCCCTCCAGCGACTGTCTTCCTTCTACCTTTCAAGTGTGGGCTAGACGTTCGTTGACAGCCCTGCCTCCCTGTCATTGGCTTCCCATCCTTCCTTAGACCTTCACGGATGGACTCCTGGCTTCCCAGCGCCTTTGGAGCTCTGAGCTCCAGTGTGACTCTTGCAAAGCACTGCCCCCATCCAGGCAGCAACGCCAGGCACCACAGTAAGGGGCCATCCCTCGCCGTGTGCAGGCCGACCTGGTTCCCTGGCTCGTTCCACGTAGACTTCCTTCATTCCTTGCCTGTGTCCCGCTTCAGTGCTTTTTCTGCCCTGGCTACTGATCTAGGTGTTCTTCAACTTTTCCATCCTACCTTCCCCCACCTCCTGCCCTGTGACTCACAGCTTCTTGTCCCTCTGGGCTAACAACCTCGATATCCTTCCAGTTCTGTTTTCCCTTCTTTCTCAGTTAGGCTCAGGGCATCTACAACCCTGAAAAATGCATCTCCTGACTGGGCCTGACCCCCATGATCTGCCTTCCTGTGTATTTGTCCCCTTCTTGCGCATAGCATTCCCTTGCTCAAAAATCTTCACCTACTTCTCTTCTATAAAGGACTATGTCAAAATCTTGAGTTATAGGCTCTACTTGCTGCTCACATTCCTTTTCCAAGAGCACCGGGATGAGGGCACCAGCCTAAGCCAGAGTGTCTACACGCCAGTCCTGGCCCTACTATGCTCCTAGAAGCTCAGGGATCTCATGTAGGACTTAGGGACTTAACATCTGCAGTATCTACCTAAAGTCTTCTTGAGATAACTCTGGAGAAGTAGTCAGCTCCGTGCCTGGCACATGATAAAATGTTAGCCATTGCCATCATCATGACCTTGAGGTGCTGTCCCAGGTCTGAGGTGGTCTGGTCTGAGTTGAAAGGAAATGCATCGGGGTGCGGGGCTTTCAAGGGACCCCACCACAAGGAGAGCAGCCTGCCTCAGAAGGCATTGGGGCCAGGACTGAACAAGACAGAGGGCTCATCTCCACTTCTCTGTCTGCTTCATTTTCCTTCTGCAGACTGCCATCATGGTTCCCCGCCCTACCCGCCCTCAGGAGCAGATGGTCTTCTCCCCTAGCTGCTGAGTTTGTGCCCATAAAGCAGCCAACCAACAGAGAACCAAATTTTAACTTCCTGGGAGAAAGCTTATGTTTGGTTCAGCTTTTGTCACATGTTCACCCCAGTCCAAACACCTGTGGTGTGAGGGAGGGTGAATGGTGCTTAGAACAAACATGGTGGCAGGAGCCTGCCCTGAGGGTGTTGGTTGTTCTCCGAGAAGACTGCCGTGGCTCATTGAACACCTGGAAGACATGCACCACCTTCTCTTTTTGGTCTCATTGCTCACTTTGTCCTTATAGGACCTCTCCACTGGGCCACACTCCATGCCAAGCATGTATAGTCCCATTCTACTTCTCCAGCCACTGCCCACCCATGGATTCTCCAGCCACTGCCGAGCCGTGGAACGCACATTCCTCCTTCACACACATCCCGACACCCCCTACCCAATCCATCACCTTCCATGAGTGAGCTCAAGTCAGATTTCTGTAGCAGACCTTTTCTGATCACCTTGTCCCACTCCACAAGACACTCTTCCTTCCTCAAACTTCTGCAGCACCGGCCCTCTCTGCCTCCTTTTTGCCCCTGATAAAATGCCCTTGAATGTTCTCTATCTTCTGGGTAGACTGGAGGCTCTTGGAAGGCAGGAGCCATACCTGCTTTCTCTTTGTAGATGCTGGCTGTGAGAGATGATCACGTCCACCCACGTGCAGTGGACAGATCCCGAGATGAAGTGGTCACTCGGGAGATCCCTGCCACTTACCCATTGCCCGCTGGCTCTTCCTTGATGTCAGAATTGTGTCAAGAAAGACGGCTTTCTTGGGGCGCCTGGGTGGCTCAGTCGTTAAGCGTCTGCCTTCGGCTCAGGTCATGATCCCAGGGTCCTGGGATCGAGCCCCGCATCAGGCTCCTGCTTGGCGGGAAGTCTGCTTCTCCCTCTCCCACTCTCCCTGCTTGTGCTCCCTCTCTCGCTGTGTCTCTCTCTGTGAAATAAAGAAATAAAATCTTTAAAAAAAAAAAAAAAAAAGAACGACGGCTTTCCTAATTGCTTTCTTTGCCTTTCGAGAGATAAAACTATCAGCAGGACAGGGCAGGAATCTGTGTGATGTTGTGCATGTAATGAGAGTTGAGCTTCCAGGAGATACCAGGATTCCTGACATCACTGCCATGGCTAGATTCTGAGAAAGTTTTGTCATCTGTATTGGGAAAGTGTTGTTTATCTCTGCAGCTGGAGGAGTATTCTGTACTCAGTTACCTCAACCAGAATGACTTTTGGTCGTTTCTCCTATTTTAGGAGACCCTCTGGGAAATATTTTTATGATCCTGAGGCCTCCTGACATCACCATGTGACAGATTATCCTTTCTTATGAGAAGCAGCTGGAATTAACAGACGGTGCCTATTGTCTGTCATTCTTAAGTAGGTTAAACCGAGATGCTTGCCCCCTTTACTGGGAGAAAAAGTGGGTGGTGCCGTGAGGAGTGAGAATCGTCTCATGGCTGCAAGTTTCCTTTTAAAACTCTGTGTTGAGTAATCATGCGGCTTGCTTTCTTTGTTTCTGCTAGAAAACACACAGAGCCGTACCACTCAGAGTCCAGAATGTGAGTTATCAAGGGCTGGCGATTCCTGCCTCAAGGGGAGGTGATAAAGGAAGTGAGAGCTCCTAACTCTCTTTGTCAGCCATCCGCCCCCCCTCCCCCCATCACCACAGAGCAAAGAGCCCCGTGTGCAGATTCTGGAGATCACTTAACAGTCTGGAGCCTCCAAGTGCCACACAATACCTGTCCCCCCTGAGACCCTAATGAATTTCCTTCCACTTATGCAAGAATTTACCTGAATGTCCTATGGAGCACAGAACACTGTTCTTATTTGGAAGATTCAGAATATTCCTGCATGTGGAATGTAGCTGCAAAGTTGTTGGATTTCTCCTCCTCCTCTTGACCTCCTGTGTCATATTCTTTGACATTATCCCCTTTTATCTTTGGTTTTATTCTAATTTCTCAGAAATATCTTTTCACCATCATTTTGCCATCTTGTCTAGGAGCCCTTTATCTCGTCTAATAAACCAGGCTGTAAAGAATCATTCCTCAAGTGCCTTTCATCTTTGGGAACAGAGGAATGAGCTCGTCCTCCTAAGCTTATAACCTCGGGCCGGAAAACAAGTGGGCAGCACGCACACTCCCCGAAAATCCCTGAGTGCCTATGTTCCCGTGTTACTAATGTACCAACATCTTTCCTGACTCCTTCCTCATATTTTACCTTTAAGTACACCGCGCGCCCCCCCCCCCCCCCCGGTCTCTCTCAAGTTTGTTTTCAGATCTTCTTGTTATTGAGTTCTTTGGCCCCCACTCTGGGGAAGAGTTGAGCCACCATATTGAGATTGCCAGGGTCATGGCAAAGGGCCTTGGGAAATAAAAACATAATAGAGACCTGTAGGGCCACCACAGTCCCAGAGAGTGTTCTGTTTTTGGCAGCAAGACTGGGGAGAGCCCAAATTACTCTTATGTGGAGAGGAGGGACTCATGCGGGATTTGGGGGTGAATCAGACTTGGAATGGCCTCAGAGATCTTAAACTGAAGCCAGTGACCTCAACAGACTGGGCTTTGGTCTATCTTATCCGGGATCATGGGAAGAGGACCGAACCGGGGCTCCTCCGCTTTTCCCAGGCATGGTCAGATGTGAGCATTTTTCCAGGTGTTCACCTCTTTCCTTTGCCTTCTGCTCCCTCCCCTGGGGGCCTACAGCTCACTAGGAGTTACGGTTTTTGGCAACCCTTCCGTTTAGAACAATCACCTTTGCTGTTGAGACCCCTGACTGCCTTGAGGATTTTGGTTTGTTTTTCCCTGGTCCAGATGCCTTTGGAGAGAGACGTACTAGAGAGCTTAGGCACAACGACTGTGTCCCGCCCCGTGATTATGAGGGTGGCGTGGGATGGTGGCACAGGGGTGCCGGCAGGGGGAATGGAAGAGAAAAGAAGGTGAGACAGTGGGAAGGGAGGAGTATGGCAGCTCTACCAGATTCAGTCTCCAGCTGAGCATTTACCGACACCCGCTAGATGTTGTTTTCCACCGTGGACACATTTGTGTCTAATGTGCTATTGGGGGTTTTACCGGTTAACAGAAAGGTTGCAAGTGTCTTGCTTGTCAAGGTTACATACCTCTTCCTAGCACCACACCTGGCATGCAGAGAGCAAAGAGAAAGTCTTTATGAATCCACAATAATAGATAGTATCCCATCACAGATGTAGGAGATCCTAAGGAATTTGAGGTTATAATGTTATTTTTTTCTTGATCCTCTGATTTGGAAGGTAGCAGAGGAGAGTGCCCCAAGCTCTGATGTTTGACATTTCTGACTCCTAAACTCCTGAGGTCAGTCGAAGGGCTGCATGGCCCTGGGAAGGGCAGAGAACTTGGAGTTGGTGTCCAGGGAGTGAGTCCCGAGTGTGCTTCTTGATAATTGAGACGAACTGGGCAAGTTTGCTTCTGTCAGGTGTGGGTAATGATTCTTGCCCACTTCCCAGGGCACTTTAAGGATGAAAGAAAATGCTGTAGACAAGAATGATCACGAAACTGTAAATGTGGTTTATAAATGTTACCAATAATAAAGGTATAGTTTTGGGGTCCCTTAGTCACCCTCCCACTCCTGCTGATCTCAGTGACTTGAACCCAGAAATGAAGAATAGGGCCCTTCTGAGGGGAGTCACGACTTTTCTTCTGAGGCTCAGGATCTCAGACCCAAAGCAAGAAGCTGCAGAAGACTCTCTCTGACGGCCTCGTGCTCAAAGGTCTGGCTGGCATGTGACCACGTCTTCCTGTGTGAAAGGTGTTCAAGAGAGAGAAAGAAGAGGCCATTGAAAGAGACCAGCTCAGGCTCAGGCTGAGCATCCCTGTTCTCTCCTGCTACAGATTTCAAAAACTGTTAACTGAAAAGACCCCCAATAATATACTTTGGAAATGGGGATAACAAGCCGAGTCAGACTCTTTGTCTACACACCCGGTCCTCTTGGCTCCTGGCCTGAGGCAACAGAAACCAGCTTGGTTTGGGGGGGACAGGGGCTTTCATACCCCTCTCCCAGTGGGGTTCAGATTCCTTGAGAGTATAGAGAGAAGAGCATGGGAGAGGATAAATCCTGAACTTTATTCATATTACCCTCATTTCTCTCCTAGTGAGAATTCTAGAGCATCTTTTGTAGAAACCTGTGCCTTGTCCACTTTTATTTGTTCTGAAGCCTGATGAATGTGCTTCCACCAGGCTGCAGAGCAGCCCCCTAGGAACAGACATCAATCAAATGGGCCTTTTCCATCTAGTGCAACGTGATGGCCCTCCGCTTGCACAGGTAATTCTTCAGTTTTAATACCGCTGCATAGAGGGACGGTGTGGGCCCTGCTGTCCTTGGCACGGGGCTGGGTGATCTCCTTCATTTCAGTGGATTCATGGGGCCAGGCTGCCACCCTGGGAGCCCACTTTGGATCTGATGGGTGGCCACACCTGTGTGCTTGCTTTGCCACTGGGCCATGAGTTAAGGCACCCAGATTCCAGAAATCTAATCACAGGGTATGAAGGAGAATGGGGCTTGTAGGAGATCTTGGGCCTTCGTGGGGCACCTCTCAGGTAGCCCTCCAGCACCGTTAGGGGAATTAAAGGTAGGTGTCCAGCGTGGGAAGGTGCAGAGAGGGGAGGAAAGAGACTTCTGGAACGGATTGTATGATAAAGGCGAAGGCACGTACAGGCGGGAGCCTCGGATCCAGCCATTGCCATCCGTTACGTCATTTTTCTTGGCTTGTCTGAGCGATAACTATTGCTTGGCCTGCTCTGATGCCCCCCAAGGGGATGTCTGGTCTCCTTTTCTGTGAGTACATTTAGCTCAGGATCTGGCAGGTCCCAGATGCTCGAGGATTATTATGAGGCCAAAGCAAAGAAGAAGGTACCTGTCGAGCTGTGGTGGGTGAGCAGGGAGTGTTTTCTTAGCAAACAGACTTGGCCTTGCCTCTGCTTTCTGCAGGGGGCCAATTCCTCTGCTCATTCGCTTTATCTTGTGTCAAGGGAGGCAATTCACAAAGCACACGGCCAAGAGTGGGGAATGAAATTAGAGTGGGTATTTTGGCTGCCAAACTGGAGGCAGGCAGGAGAGCAGAGAGGGAATACCAGCTCAAAAGAGCGACTAACCTTTGTTCCACATTTCCAGAAATCTGAAGATGGTCCAGCCACAGCCCTGTTAACCATTAACCTCCTGATGTTAATGGTGGCCGCTTTGCATTCCCCGTAACCTTTCCTGGCTGGGTGTCTGAGGCTGACAAGCCATGCACACATGTCTCTTCTCACTGAGGTTTCCAAAGACACAGAAAAAAAAAAAAAAGAAAGAAAAGAAATACAACAAAACCCTGGACGTTTGCACTGGAGCCAAAGGGGTAGGAGTGCTTTCAGCTCATCTTCAGGGGCTCAGGAAAGAGAATTAATCCCTTTATGCGCCAATGTAACATTTATGGGGTCCGTGGCGTGCAGGGCCCCGAGCTACGAGCTACGGTGGCAATGCAGAGATGAGAAGAAATCGCTTCTCCTCCCGGACAGCCTGGCCCAGAGAGGGCTGCTGAAAGAGCCGGCTTGCTCATGGTGCCCAGATTTGTTTTAATAGAATCTTAGGGACCTGGACTTCTGGCAGATTTCTTTTCTTTCTTTCTTTCTTTCTTTTTTTTAGAGTTTTTCTTCTGAGACCATTTTAGATTTGCAGGAAGAGAATCCATATGCCCTTCACTCAGTTTCCCCCCTGGTGGTAACATCTTGCATCACCGTAGTACGGTCTGGCCGACCTCTCGTGTGTTTTCTCTGCGCTGCCCCCACTCTTCCTTCCTTGAAGTGGATCTTCCTCCTCTCCCCCCACCCCACCCCGCCTCCACCTTGTCTTGCCCTAGGGTCTCTCCAGTCATGAAGCAAAGTCATTTAATTAGTCAACAAATTCTTCTTAGTTGGTGACTTGCATGCTGAGAGCGCTGTTCTGGGGAGAGGGAGCTTCTCGTCATTTGCTGGTGGCACGGTGCATCCCGGGGAGAGTTAAAGGAATAACAGTAACCAGGATTGCTACAACGGTCTCTGC